CAAGAACGTTCAAGGCCACGTATTATGTCTAAACTCAGAAAGCCGCCATCTTTCAAGTCAAAAGAGTTGAATAGAAATTTCACATGGTTCCTGTCATTCACACAGGGGATTGAAGAAACCCAGGAAGAAAGTGAGGAATTGAAGCAGGGGGAGAATCCAGGAATCCGCGTGTTATCAGGCAGGTTACCTCTGAGTGACGGCATCTGGCATTTGGTTTTGCTGGAGGCTTCAGGGAAACTGTGGAACAGAGCTCAGCAGACTTTTGTGAAGGGCCAGACAGCAGATATTTTAGTCTTTGCAGGCCATACGGTCTGTGCTGCAACTGCTGTCATGCAGTTGTAGTGAGAAAGCAGACAAAGACAATATGTAAATGAATGGGTGAGGCTGTGTCCTAATAAAACTTTATTTGCAAAAACAGCCTGATGGATTTGGCCTGTGGGCTGTAGTTTGCCCACCCCGAGGTAGAATGTACACTTCACCTGTTCCAGCCAGGAAGGACTGGGTGTTTATACACTGGCTTCTGTCAGTCAGGGTTGAGGCCTGCTGGGGTGGGGGTCGAAGAGTTGGTTGTTGCCATTGTTCCAGCTGCATAGGGGGTAACCCTCCGGCAAAAGAATGCAGGCTCTGGCCAGAGGAGGTTGGACCTGGACAGGGCAGATGGGGCAGGAAGGGCAGCATTGTCACTCCAGCTCGGGCAAGGCACTTTTGACCACTGGGAGAGTGCACTAGAGAGAAGGTGGCAGGATGAGCAGGGAAAACAAGTTCCAGACTGGGCTAGCGTATTTCACTTCATAATTCTAGCCTTTACAAGCATTTGTTCTTCTAGTTGAAAAACAGCTTCTCCGTATTGAACAGTCTCATTCTAGTGTTCTATCTCTATGTCTCTGCTTGGGCCATTCTTGTAGTTGGGCTGCCTGCTCCTCCGCTAGGGTCCCAGACCACCTCCTCCAGGAAGCGCACCTATCTTCTCTCAGGTGGAGTTGGTCCTTCTTCTGGACATCCCTTGGTGCTTGGCTTTTCCCTGTCTCCAGTACTTGTATACTGTGGCTTCTGTCACTTTGCTGTCACCTCACCGTGAGCCCTCCAGGTTGGAAGCTGTGGGATCCTGTCTGCACCTGCCTGGGGGCACTGGTTTGGGAAGGGCAGGACCGGATCCCAAACACCTCTTTCCTCTCACCCCTCTTCTCCCTCCAGTGCTGCCGATGCCAGGCCCTGTTCTGAGACCAGCCCTTGCCCTGGTGGAGTTGGCAGTCTGGTGGTGGTGATGGTGGGGTTAGACATTGGGCAACCTGAAGGAACAACTCTTGTGGCACATAAGAGAAATGCGGGGGACCAGGGAAGCCATAGCAGGGAGAAGTGCCTTGTCTTCTTCTTTGTAGCTCTGTGTTCTCTCTGACTCTCTGACCTCTGTGTCACACCTGTGCCAGGTGTGAAGAGGAAAGCAGGGGAGGGAAATAGAAGAGGACAGGAGGCCAAAGAGTCATGAGCACAGACTGCATGCCAGGGCCAGGAGCGGAGGGCTGAATCCTGGCTTCTCTCAGTGCGTGACGGCTTCTTCCCGCTCTGTCTTTCTCTGTCTCTTTACTTTTGTCTCTCTCTCCCTCCCTTGCCTTCTCCCCCTCTGTCATATACACACACTTATGCAGATAGAGATACTAACTGTAACTGCTTCTGTATAACAGAATTTTGAGTAATTTTACTTTCTAGTTTGTGTTTTCTACAATGGCCATGTCATGGTAAAAATTGAGGCCTCAGTCAGGAAACCATACACCATCCTCCTTCTGGCAGTTGTATGATCTTAAACATGTTATTGGTCTCTCAGAGGTTTTCTTTCTCACTGTGTAAGAGGCAAATAATCATAATCAACCCTATCCACATGGTACCCATCATATTCTGACACTTTACCTCCATTTACTCATTCAAGCCTACAGCTTCCCAGAGATGGGTACTATCTCTAGCCCTATATTTTCTAGATGAGGAAACTGAGACACAGAGAGGCTAAATAAGTAACCCAGTGTCACTCAGAAGTCAGAGCAGGATTTCATACCAGCTGTCTGGAACTTAACCATTGGCTCTGCTGCCCACCTCCTAGGGCAGGAGCAAGAGGATAACCATGGAGCCCTTAGCCCAGCACCTGGTGCGTAATTAACGCTCAATAAACATTAGCTTTTGTTATCATTAGTGTCCGTGCAAAGGCCCTAAGTTGGGAAAGGAGCGTGGCCTTTTGAAATACCAGGGAAAGGGGCACATTGATGACGTAGCAGGGCTGGATGTACTGGGTCTTTAAAGTCCAGGATTATGCATGTGAGTAGAAAGAGAGTTGGAGCCCCTGTTGGGCTCTGCTTTTCAGCAGAGATGTGTGACAGGTTCACATTTGGGTTTTGCAAGTGATTGCTCCTCTGGCTGCGAGGCCCAGGACGGCTCCCTTTGGATGTAGCGGCTCTCCCCAGTATCTCACCATCCCGGCATTGCATCCTGCACCCGAGACGGGGCTGGCCTGGTGTCAGGGCTGGCTGTGTGGGCCAGAGCACCAGGGACGAAGTCAGGAGTGTATCACTGGGCTGGCCTGGTGATGCTGGGATGCTGGGAAGTGGCGGCTGGAAGGCAGGAACGAATTACTCTCCTGGAGATGAGGCTGGGCCACTTCCTGCCGTGTTACATTATTAAATTTGTAATCTTCATTCTAATACTTTCCAGCAGTGAATAAGAACCAAATTTAAAATGCCGGCTTTACATTTCTGGAAGGAATGGAGCTCTTTGTCAAGAACTCTTGAAACCCATAATTTCTCTCCAGAGGTGAATGTCTAGGTCTTTTTTAAAAAATTAAAATAAAAAATAAGGGCAAATCACTGTTTAGTTAAAGGTTGGGGTTGAAGGGTCTGACCTCAGTTGTATTCTCTAGCCTTGGAAAGGGCTCAGAGTGGGGCTAGCCCTACAGAAGCCCTGGAAACTTGAACTCCTAAATCTGGGCCTTGCTAGGGAAGAAAGTAAGAGAAACTTCATGCCTACTTCACCCCTTCTTGGCAATCTGTTGATTTATAAAAGGACTTGGTGAAAAGTGGGCCACCATCTCCAAAAGAACAAGCCCGTGTCAGATTCCCATAACCTCCTTGGTGGATGGCAGAGCTGGCTGCTGATAGAACCATGTTCCGCCTTGGTCCTCTCTTTCCACCTGGGCAGGATGGGCCTCCATCCAGGGTCACCAGCATCCCTGAGCTGCTGTCCAGCCCTCCTCCATGCAGGCCCTTCTATGGGGCAGGGAACCTGAGGTGGGAGGGAATGTGCCCACTGGCCTCTGCTGGACCGTGTTCCAGGTGAAGCAACCGTGGTGTTCCCTGCCCACTGCCCTGAGCCAGCTTCTGGGATGTTCTCAGACCCCTTCCTATCCACAACTGGTACCTTGAGGGTGACTCTGAAGATGCCGTTTGTGGAGGTGAGATCAATGTACAATTGTATATGGGGTCCCCTTGATGTGGGGAAGGGTGGGCTATGGCTGAGAGTCGGTGCTCCCTACCCACTGTGGTCAGTCCGCTATGGGGCTCTGAGGATTCTAAATTTGAACCCATTCTGGACATTAAAGTCATTATGAAGGCACATTTCTCAGAATAAGAGGATGAGGCATATTTTATTTAATAGCCCTGATTTATAAGTTTAAAATATTTAGAATAAGTATGAAAGCCTCATTTGTACTTTTCTCCAGGGGCCCTGTGGTATTAGAGAAGGCCTTTGTGTCCTCCTTTGAACGGATCATGAAGTAGCCCAGGGATGGCCTAGGTCCTGCACTCTGGCCCAGGAGCAGGCACAGAGTGTATGGCACTTCTGTGCAAGTTAGAGGAGGGCAATTCTTGCACCGTGAGTGGCCGATTTAAAGAATGAACTTTCTCTGGGAGGATGATTTGGGAAAGGAGAACCCCTTCTCCAGCCAATAAAAAAGCTACTTTTCTGCCTGTTCCCCACCCTCAGCTGGGTACCTGGTTTAGAGAGTGCAGCCTGCTCAGGAATTCCCCAGCACCCTCAGACCTCAACCAGAAAGGAGCCCTGGGCAAGACCTGAAGGGAAAGTGCCAACACGCTGGGATCCAAAGCTAAGCATTAGGTCATTTTCCTTGTTGCATAATTGTCCTCATCGTGACAGTAACATTTACTGTGTTTCATACATTGCCAAATACTGAGTTCTTTACTCCTTTCTTTATCCTTTCAAGATGTCAGGTTATAATGACAGTATAGTTGACATACCCACCCATTGCATACTTGAGGCAACTGAGGCTCAGAGCAACCAGGCCTGTCTTTGGCCCAGGGCCACTCAGTAGTAAGTTTAAACCCAGATGTGCTGACACTTGAGTCTTTTAGCCCAACCATTGGTCTGCACTGCCTTTTATCATTTTTAAACCACTCTTTATGCAGTCAGCAGATGCTTACAGGCCCCCCACTCCTGTGTGCTGGGCATTGAAGGTGAGGTGCAGAATAGCAGCAGGGCCTCCCTCAGCCTAGGAACGAATACAGGTAGATCAGGTGACTAGGAGACTGCACTGAGTCGAGGTGACAAGAACCACCATGGAGGGTGAGAAGCTCTTTACCAGGCTGAAGAGTACACCAGGCCACTGTGAAATTCAAAGTAGGTGTAGGAGGATGTGGGCGCAGTGAGGAAATGGAGCCTGGAGAGAGAGGTGGGTGGGTGAGGAAAAGCCCCAGTGCTGTCCAGGACCAGCCCCTTCTTGATGACCAGAGTTGCATCATTTTCAGCCCTCTTGTGCCTCTGCTGGGAGGGAGGAACTTAGTATCCTGGAGGGGTGGAAGCTGAGTGGGGAAGGCACCCCCATACTTCTCAAAATAAGAAAACCCAAGTGGGGGCTTGGGGATGCAGCTTAATGTAGAGCACTTACCTAGCGTGTATGAGGCCCTGGTTTCCATCCGTAGCACTGCAAGAAAAAGAAAAGGAAGAGGGGCAGAGAACCAAGATGGAGAGGGGAAGAGTGAGGCATTTGAACTTTTTTGGGCAGGTTGTGTTGCCATTTATTGTTTTAATTTTTTAAAGATAATGTAGTGCTTTCTCTGGTTACAAATACTTGCAGTTGCATTGGCCTGCATCTCCTGTGCACATTCTGTGCTCCAGATGCCGTGCTGAGGTTTCATGCAAGTTACCAAGTTATTTCCTCGGGACAGACCTCTGAGAAGGGTCCTATTGCTGTCCTGTTGTTCCAAAGAGGACATTCAGTCAACAAATGTCAGCACTGGTTTCCTTGGTTCTCACACCCTTTGTCTGTGCTATCTGTAGCCCTGGTGGAAATGTGGGGAAGAGGCAGAGATGGCACACAAAAAGAACAGTACAAACCACACCAGTCCTGTAGCCCAGGGGTAGGATGTTTAACCACAAGGCTTTTTTCTCCCTAGGAGTGAGTGTGTGGTGTGTTTGTGTGTGTGTGTGTGTGTGTGTGTGTGTACACGCACACAGGAACACATGTTTAAGCCAAAGCAGTGTCACCCTGGGATGCTAGTTTGTAAATTGAAGCCACCATTTTTAAATCACCTTAAAAGGACCTTCATGGGCTGGTCACCACAGGGCCATTTCATTTCTAGGATTAGATCTAGGACTGCATCCATGTGATTTGGCTGTAGTCCACACAGTTGGCCAGGTGGGTCCCAGGACAGCACAAGGCAGCTCATCCTAGTGGCCGCAGTTCATTTTTGTCCCTGCTTTTCTACTCTTATTCTTGTCAAATAAATAAATAAATAAAATTCTAAACTGACAGTCCTTCCCAGGATTTTATTCCTTGCTTGGCCCTGCATTTCAATGCAAGAAGCAGAAGGTTTGTGAGCTATAAATAGCCCAAGTCTCTACTGCACAGTGGCGGGGAGCGTTTGTAGGTTCTGTCTCCTCCCAACCTGGTGACCTGGATTACTTCCTTTCCACAGCGGTTGCTCCCCTTGCTGCCTCCTCTGTCCATACCTCATAGCAAAGAGCAGGTCTCTCTCTGCAAGCAGGTACTGAGCACCAGCACTAGGCTAGGCCTGGGGGTTGGGCACACAGGATGAGTGACATAACCTGCCGTGGTACAAGGTGGACACAGATGCAGATGTCCACAGGTGAGAATCTTCTCAGTGGGGAAGCTCAGAGGGGTTGGTGGCTCTGGGGCTCAGGGAAGACTTCCTGGAAGAGCCCTGGAAAATGGAAGGAAGAGAGGTCTGGGGAGAAGGAGCCTTCGAGTCCAGAGTGTCACACGTGGCACATCTTCTGGCCAGAGTAAGCATTCATATTATTAAGCAGACCTATTTGTTTTTGAGAACAGATCCTGGGTTCCTTTAATGGCTCCTATGGCTTCCTGGAATCCAGCAGATTTGGGTGGGGAGAGTGCTCAGCCTTTCACTAGTTTGTGATTTTCCCTCTGTTCTGCATGTGCTTTTCTGTAAGGAACCAGGATCCTGAGCCCAACCCAGACCACTCAGTTAAAAATCTCCAAGGCTGGGGATTTAGCTTAGTGGGTCCTCTGCCTGCCGTGTAAGCACAAGATCCCAAGTTTGATCCCTGGTACTAAAAACAAAACAAAACAAAACAAAAAAACAAACAAAAACAAAAAACCCAATAACCAAAAAAAAAACCACCACCAGGGGAACCTGGAAGTCCTTTTTTACACATGCTCCCAAGGTGATACTGAAGTTTAGCCACATTTGGGATTCCATGTGCTGACCTGGTCTCCCATCCTGGAACTATACCCCAGGCCCTGTCCCTGCTGAATGGGACTTAGTCCCTTTATGTAGCTCCTGTAACAGAGAGGGGAGCTCACAGCCTCTCCAGGCCATCTCTTTCCATCCACAAGCACCTGGACTGCAGAAAGTCCTTCCCCCTGTGCCCAGTCACTTGAACTATCATTCCTAACAGTAATGATATTTTGTATACATTTCTGTTGTCCACAAAAATGTAATTTGGGATGCAAAAATACATATATTTTAAATGCCAACAGACCTGAGTTTGCACCTGTCCCCCGCCGCCTTTTTTTTTTTGTCTTACCCTATTAGCTGTGTCCTTGAACAAATGACTTAATCTGAGTCTCAAGAGTTCTCATGTGTTAGGTGCTGATGATAATGGTCCTTGCCACTCATATCACTGGAAGGATTAAGTGTGTGGATAGTTCAGTGCAGTAGTGAGGTACTCAGTTCACGAGTAATTTGTGGTTATTAGTATTATTATTACTATCATGTAAGGTGTTTGTATGGTAGATTTAGGGGGTTTTTACTGAATGTTTCATGCATGCCTAGCCCTAGGCCAGCTGATGGAGTGCCTGGTAAAAAAGTTCTTCCTAAGTGACAGTCATTGTCATTGGCATTATAGCACTACTTGATCTTTACAGTGCTGTGAGGTAAGTAGTAAACTTTTACAGGTGAGAAGATAAAGGTCAGAAAAGTTGCAAGGTTTCTAAAGCTCATTTGCCACTAAGCTGGCAGGATGGGAAGGGAATTTAGTCCATGCCTTCTGCTATCCCCACTTCTCCCACTTCAGCAGAGTTTTGCAAGTCTGTATGAGAAGGAAGGAGGGAAGAAGAAATGGAGGGAACAAAAGGAGGGGAGGGGCAGGCTTTTGCACAGAATGTAGGGGCTCTGCCTGCTCTCCCAGTCTTAGCCTCCATAGTTCCCTCTATGCTGGCAGTTTGGGGACAGCTGTCTGGACTGTCCTCTCTTCTGTGGTGCCACCAGACAGATCTAGTTACGGTGCCTTTGGGCAGAAAGGAGTCCTCGGGGAGCATGTGTGACCCTGCTATCCAGCCAGCTCTCCTGGGTTTGGGTGGCAGCCCAGGTGTGGTCTGAGCCTCCGATCTGCAGCCAGTATCTTGTTGTCCACAGATCCCACTCCACTTTTTGACTGCTTCTGTCCAAGTCTAGGCCCCATCCGATTTCTAGGGATGAAAGTTGGCCCTGGCTGGCTGCAGAATGGCCCCTACTCTCATCCAAGAAAAGTGAACGTGAGTTTTGACCCCATGTTCTCTCTCACACGGGATCTGGTCGTTGATTCTCATTCTCTTCCTTTTCAGCCCTTCCTCTCCCCTCCCGTCTCCCCCCATTGGATGGAAAGTCCTGTCCCCTGGCAGAGAAACCTCAGAGATCAGCAAGGAAGGAAGTGAGAAAAATGTTGGAGCTAAAGAGGGTCCTTGTAGTCAAGACGTACATCTGTGTTCATTGCTGGTGAAGTAGGTCTAACGCCAGTGGCCACTCATCTTTCGTCTTTTACAGGATGTAGACTTAAGCTGACCTCCCTTCTCTGAGTTCGCTGTCTCTCAAGACCTCGCTTCTTTGTTCTTGTCTTCTGCCTATGGTCTCCTTCATTTATTGGGAGAATCTAATTTCTGGTAGCCTCTGTTGGTGAAAAAACCCAAGGTTGGGGGGTCTTAGACCATGTTTGACACTGCTGCTGTCCAATCAGAATTTCTGTGCTGACAACGTTCCATATCTGCACAGTTCAAAATTGTAATGACTAGCGCAAGTGGCTGGTCCACATTTGAAATTTGGCTGGTGTAACTGAGGACTGAATTCTTAACTTTAAAAGTTTAATTAGTTGGGCTTGGTTGCTCACACCTATAATCCCAGATACTCAGGAGGCTGAAGCAGGAAGATCGAAAGTTCAGGGCCAGCCTGGGTAATTTAGCAAGATCCTGTCTCAAAATAAAATTTTAAAAGGGCTGGGGGTATAGCTTAGTGGTAGAGCACCCCTGGGTTGATCCCCAGTTCAATCAAAAATTTTGGTGTGAGTAGTAGCCACTGTTTTGGGACCACAGATAGAAATCATGTGCTGAGTTGTGAGACCTTTAGCAAGTGTCTCCCACACTGGGAAGGTGGAGAGTGCCATTAAAGAACCCATAAGAGAGCCACCTGGGAAAGGAGGCAGGGTTTTAGGTCAGCATTGCCAAATCCTAGCTCTGTGACCTTAGACAATCCATTCAACCTCTCTGTGCCTCAGATTCCTCATTTGTAAAGGGAGCATTTAATAATCACTTCACTGAGTTAAAATGAGATTCACTTCTACAACTGTGTCCTTCCTGGTAGACTCTTGGGTAATCATGGAAACAGTTTTAGCTCATGTTCACCTCTTGCCTTTTTTTGGAAAACTTTTGACAATTCTTGTTTTGGCTATAAATGTTTATATGAAATGCTTACTGTTGGGGCTAGAGTTCATAGCCCCAAACCTTACAGAATTATGTGCAAAAGTTGTATCATTATGCCCCTATATTTTTTTTTCCTGGAAAAAAACAGAATTTTTGTCTGGGGAAAGCCAAAAAGACTAAGAACTCTTGACATGGTACTCACCACGCATGTGGAATGGGACAGGAGGTGATCAGAAAAATGCCAGACTCCAGCCCAGGCTGCCATGGTCCTGCCCTGGCCCTGCCACTCTGAGCTGCATAAGCCTTGTTGAACTTCAGCCTCCACATCTGTGCAATGAGGGTGATGTAGGACCCATTTCATCAGTCATGGGGAAGAGTAAGTCAGCGAACTATGTTCTTCGGGTAGCATAGCAACCGGCACCAGTTCCCAGTGAATGCTCTCTGCTTTTATCACCAACACATCATCATCGTCATCATTGTCATCACTACCATTGTTCCATCCACTGTGTGTGAGGCCTAGTGCTGGGTGGGTCTGTCTCCTGGAGTCTGTCTCTCTTCTCTGCCTGCGTGTCATACTCCTTCCCCTCCTCACTCTGCTCTAGTCGGCCTGGTTGCTCATCAGACATACCAGGCAAACACTGCCACAGGGCCTGCGTGTTCCTTTCTCCTGTGTTGGAAACACTGCCCCCCAGACACCTAGGGATTGGTTTCTTTACCTCCTGCAGCTCTGCCGACATATAGTGAGGCTTCTCTGACTGCTCTCTGCAAGACTCCCCCTCTCCTCCACTCACTGCCTTCCATCTAGCTTCCATCTTTATGTGTTTGTCTTATTTGATCTTTGTAGCTCTCTTGAGCTAGAACTTCAGGAGGGCAGTTTGGTTTTCTTTGTTTTGTCCCTGCATGAGTTCCAGGGCCTAGAACAGGACTGAATGTATAGAAGGTACTAAAAAAAATACCTTGTGGTGAGCAGCTGAGTGAATGACTCTCATCTCAGCTGAGATAGGCTCCTGTGGGCTTTCAAACTCTACAGATGTCTGCTATGTAATATTTCAATAAGCAGTCATCCCCCGGACCCTCCTCTTGCCTTAGGTTCTTGGGATAGAAAGGTGAACAGGAATATCCCTGTTCTTGAGGATCCCACAGTCCTGGGTGCCTTCCCATGCTGGTTAGCTACTGGCTTCTACTGCCATCCTGTCTTTCACCCTGAGCTGGAAGAGCTTGGTACACAGGGGCTTCATCTCCTGCGCAGTGCTGTGTCCTCAGCACCAGGTTAAGGTCCATTGCCTGAATGAACAAATGCAGGATGTTGCAAGGCAGAGACCAGCAGAGGGGTCTCTGAATGTCCCTGGGAGGCGCAACCGGCCCTTTCTGGGAAGCATGGGCTGGAGCATGTGGAGTCACGTGGGAGGCGAGGACACTTCTGTCCCTTGGCAGCTTGCCTTTCCTCTCACTTGGCCAACCACGGAGCAACCTGGGAATGATGTGAGAGTGGTTCCCCCTCCCTCAGGAGTCTGGGTGGCTCTCCTATATTTCAGCTTCTGCCTGAGCCTCTGTCCTTGGAGTTAAAAATAGCCAAGGATGGGAGTGCAAGGACATGCTGTCCTTCTCTGCCACTGAGCAGGGATTCTGCTATCTCTTCTCTAAGGGGGCTGTAGGGCTGCAGGTTTGAGAAGGCAGCAGCTTACAGAATTAGCCCTTCCTGCTCCCTCGAGGACAAGCACAAACCACTCTTTCCCCAATCCGGAATGACTAAATGAGCTACGCATGTCTCAGCTGTGAGGCTCTCCAGGGTAGGCAGACACCTGGCGGAAAGCCAGTCCTCCAGGCCTGGGACCATGGCAGGTGTCACCAGTCAATCATAGCACCCCTCTGCCAAGTACAGACATAGTCTAAGAAAATTTAACCCGGGGTATTTCAGGCAGCAGCCACCAGAGTTGGCAAAGAGAGAGAAAAAAAACGACTCATTATCTCCACTCTAGTCCAGTCTCCTCATGATGGGGTAGGCAAAGCTCAGAGAGGGAGAAAAACTTGTCTGATATCACATAGGAGGTTGATAGTGGAGCTGACTAGACCCATGAGTTTAGTACCTGGTGAGGCTTTTCTCCCACTGTTTCTTCTATTGCATGCTCTTTTCTACCAGAACTGAGGATTTCATGTGTAGAACACTGACTTTTAACCCATGCAATGCCTCAGATTTTCTCCGTCATACTGTGTGTAAGAGCTGACAGGTTCTTTTCTAAGGAAAGAGTGAATAGCTTTCATCAGCTGTCAAGGGGATCCTCACATAAACAAGAAAAATGAAGAGATCAGAAGTGTGGGTCTTGCTATTCAGTATGTGGGCCATAGTCCAGCCATGCTGGCCTCACCTAGGAGTGGTTAGAAGAGCAAACTTTTAAGCCCTTCCCAGGCCTTAACAGAGGAATCAGAATCTCTATTTTGACAAGATCCCTGGGTGATCCATTTGCACACTAATGTTTGAGACGCACAGGCTGGAATCATTCAGTCTGTTTCTATGTGGGGTATCTGTTGATTTCTAGGCATCCTCTAGGTAGGCATGGTCCTTGCCCTCCTTTGAAAGTGAAAAGAAACAGAGGTGCCGTACCCAAGATGAGCCCAGCTGTCTTGCTGCTCAGCTAAGGCCAAATCAAGGGACATTCTCGTGTCAACTGAAGATAAAAGGTAGCTCTTTCTGGCCAAGGAATTGGAGGCCCCAGCATACATTAAGCAGCTATGTGGGAGTATCCTGTTGGGAAGCCTTAGTGGGCACCAGTCAGTTGCCACTATGTAGAGTAGTTTAGAGAGGAACAGGTCTTGGGATGTGGATGAGCTGATGGGATCAACAGGAACTGTGCTGCGTAAGGCCAGTGTTACTGGCAGCTCTTGGTGGTACACACAGCACATCTAGGTGTGTTTGCTCTGGTAATGCCAGGTGGTTTTGGGTGGTTCCAACTGGTCTTCACCTATCCCCACCACTTCCCAAGGGTCTGACAGGCTCTGAAGAAAGCTGGGTATGTGTTCGTTGAGAATGACAGTGGCAGAGAGCCTGAGGCACAGACAGAAAGCTTGCCCGGTGAAGTTGGGAGGAAGGAATTCCACCATCTCAGCTCCACCCTCTGTCCCACATCCCTGTTCTCCATGTGCCTTCAGTGTGTTCATCCATGGGCCTTTGTGGGGCTATAACTAGACATGTATGATCTGAAGATGACATGCCTAGGGTCCAGACCAATAGCTCAGGGCTCGTCTGGCCCTCATAGCAGGCTCATATATTGGCCTCATGTTCCGGTGGGGCTGTCTCCCCTTTCCCTTGACAGAACTTCCCACTGCCACACCCTGGCTCCTTGACCCCATGTAAGACCCCGTGCAGGATCTGTGTAAGAAGAGAAGAGTGAGGCCTGAGATGTGAGAAGAGATGGGAATAAACATGTGCATGTGCACACATGCATACACACACACAGAACTTTATGGAGCAGTAATCCTTATACCATGCAATTCACCTGTTTAAAGTGTACAGTGAGCTAGTTTATTTATTTTTGGCGGTACCAGGAATTGAACTCAGAACCTTGCACTTACCAGGCAGGCGCAGTGCCACTGAGCTACATCTCTGGGCTACAGTGAGTTTTAATATATTCAGAGTTGTGCAGCTATCATCTCATCAATTTTAGAACATTTTTGTCACCCAGAAAAAAGCCCTGTATTTCTTAGGAGTCACTTCCCATTCTCCTTCGTTCCTGCACCTGCCAATGACTGGTCTATTTTCTATTCCTATAGATTTGCCTGTGCTTGATATTTCATGTAAATGTTAACTATAGATTTTTTTGGTAACTAGTTTCTTTCACTTAGCATAATGTCCTCAAGTTTCTCTATGTTGTAATGTATATCAGTACTTCATTCTTTTTTGTTACTGAATAATAGTTCATTGTGTGTGTGTACCACAATTTATTTATCCACTTATCTGTTGATGGACATTTAGGCTGTTTCCACCTTTGACTATGGTGATTAATACTGCTATGAATACTTGTGTTTAGCCTGGGTGGGATAGACTTGGTTTGTGTCTTTCCTCTACCATTTACTTGCTGTGAGACCTTTGGCAAACTGCTTCAGTTATCAGAGTCACAATCTCCTGAGTTTCAAGCATGGGATGCTACTACCTCTGAGTATTGTTGATAATAGTGGCATTGATTTACTGAGTGCCCTTATCATGACAGACACTACATATGTTATATCATTAGATTCAGCTCCACCAGGGATATGAGGGAATTTGTTTCATAGTCAGGGTGGATACATGCTATAGTAGGTTGACATTCTGTGTTGTAATAAATCATTTGGTACCTGGATGAGTTCTGTCTCGAGGGTGTGTGCTGGGGAGGGAGTTCTCCCACTTCTCCCATGCTTTTGGAATTTTCAAATTAGTATTAGAAGCTAAATTTTTACTCCCCTTGTCTTTTATACATTAAACATTTTTTGACGCACACATGGAGTAAAATACAGTGGCTCCATTATTTTTATTTCCCTTCTTCTAGGAGAACAGCTGTGCCAAGTGGTCCTCTACCTTGAATTCTAGAAGATTCCATGGGACAGAGTCACAGATAACTCATAAAGTCTGTCTTACTATGGACAAGAAATAACCTTTATCCTATAAGCCACTGAAGTTTCGAGTCATTTGTTTCCACAGCATAACCTAGTGAGAGCTGACTAACGCATTTAATTCTTATGACAACATTTGGTGCTGCTGTTAGTTTTCCATTACCACGACATAATACCCAACACACACAATTTAAGGAGGCAAGTTTTAATTTGGCCCACAGTCTCAGGGGATTCAGTTCCATGGTTGGCTGATTCCAAGGTAGAAATATTGTGACAAAAAGACATGGCAGAGCAAATATGCTTAGTTCATGGTGTCCTAGAACCAACACTGAGAATAGTTCCTGCAGCGAAGGGGCAAGGGACCAAGAGATCCAAGATCAGCTTTCTATGACCCAGCTAGACACACCCAGTAGAGTGTTTTTCTAATTACCTTGGTGGCTTCCAACTCAATTGGCACATTGAAGTTCAAGTACCATATTATACCCATTGTCAGCTTGACACCCAAACACATCTTAAAATCCATATTTAACTTCCAAATAAACACAAGGTCATAAACTCCACCTAATTGGACTCAAAGCAAGACTGAAAGACAGCAGGGCAAACAATAAGTCCTGTGGTTCCATGTCTAGCATCTGGGGCTGAGATGTGAGTTCCAGAGAGATGGGTGGCCCCACCCCTTTGTCTATGCGAGTTGCAGTCCACATAGCCTCTCTCTTGGATTGGCTTTGCTCATGGCCTGTGGTTTCCTTGGCAGACATTCCATGTTCCTGGCATTTCTGACTTCTGGAGTCTGCTACACCTTTGGCTTCATTCCCACAGCTTCATACACTGTCCTTTCAGGGGCTCCTTGCCTGG